CTGAATCGTTTTCTGCATTTTTTTTTTTTTTTTTTTTAGCACTTCCTCCTCTTCGGGAATTTTCGCACATTTAATATGACACTAGTATTTTAATTAAACAGAGCGCGTATTTCTCTCGTGATACTTTTCACTATCTCACTGCGACGATCAACATCCGCACAGAGGGTTACATCGTAAAGATGCGTACTTACAGGCGTGCTAAATACCGACGAGTCGCTAAAATTCCAAGGTTAAAGCTTCTTAAACGTTCAAATGCTGTTGGTTAGTTTGGCACTATCGGTCGTATTCGATTTATTCTGTCGTCGAGTGGACAGTCCTGCCTTCGTCGCCACTTCCGCCGTTCTCCATTCGCCAGCGAGAGCTTGTCCCTCATCGCGCTGTCACGGGGTAAAGCGTAGAAGACAAAGAGGTAGACAGAGAAAGAGAGAAAGAGAAAGAAAGAAAAGCGAAGCGAAGCGTTTTCACTGCGGGAAAAAAACGCGCTGGTCGATGACAATGGTGCACTTACCAAAACCCGAGCGATCGGAGCAGCGTGAGACGAGTATCTGAGCGGAGAAAAGTCTTCGGGCGAAAAGCGCGCGGCGGAAGGACGCGTGTCACACCGCTTCAGGGTGGGGATCCCAAAAATGGCCCGCCGCGAGCCCCCCCGTAATACGTTTATTTTCTGCTCTCGCGTACGATCCGCGGACGATCTGTCACACCTCCATCCGTCGCTGGAGCGCGACGCAGCATCGATGGATCCAGCATCCGCGCTCCAGAGTTGCCGACGGTTCGTGTGAACAGATCTCGTCTCTCTCGCAAGGGATCGAGGTAACTCTCGACGGACCGTAGACGGAAAGTACAGATGCCTTGGGAAGTGTCCGTTTACGATTTCCGTGAACGAGAAATTCGCGTATGAGTTTTACGTGATTGTGAGATTTCCCCTGGCTGCTTTAATTAAATTAACCGCTCCAGATTCTCGTGTACTCTTGCTAATAATGGATATCAAGTGGATTTATAATAAGACAAACTTTTTTTCATCTTTTGTACAAGAAAATATATATATATACGCATTTTTTTTCTGCAATTAAATAATTATATTTTAGGAAGAAACTTTGACGGAGAGAATATTTTGTTTCACAGAAGTATTCGTAGTGTTTTGCTTATAATTTATACTTTTCATTTTTTTTTTTTATTATTATTTATAACCCATCTGTCGAACAAAGAATGCCACTTATAAGCACATTGTACAAGTGTTTAAAAATATTTACAAACGTTTAGATTTTTAGATATATATTTTTATAAGGATTAACGTCGTAGAAGAAATATCTGTTCTCTCTCTCTCTCTCTCTCTCTCTCTCTCTCTCTCTCTCTCGCATTTCCTGTTTTATTTCCGTTTTGTATCATTCGCTCGGCGAATCGTTTTTAGAGATTGCTTCGCTTCGCTACATTCACCTGTTGCCAAACATTTATCATATTGTGAAAAAAATAAATCTTTATTTTAAGGCCGTCATTTGAAGTTCCCTAACTAGTTTTGTCGATAAAATGTACAATGAGAGACACAACTGCGCAGAGTTCGAATTTGGATAATTTCTTGACTTCACAATAAATTTACGGCTTATCTTTGTACGCGCAGTTACGTATGTACACGTATAATAATTCTAAGTTAACCCCTTACGGCACAGGATTACCGAATATATGTGCTTGATATATAAGCTCCAATCGTTTATCAAAATTTATGTTTCCCTCGAGATTTTATTGCGTCATTCCGCACGGTATAGTATATTTCAATCTCAATAAAATTCTCATATTATTGCCGATAAAAATATTAAATTCTATATTTCTCCTTTAAAGAGGTAGGATTATACTTTAATATCTATTTTTACACCGTTGACACACTTGTTCTGTAAGTGCAACTTTTTACAACGAAGAAATGACTACGCAGTAAGGGATTAACATGAACAGCGTCGCTGTGTAACGTCTATGTCTTTGGACGTTTAACCAGCCGGTCAAAAATACTCTTAAAGATATTTCAGAGAGGTCCTTGATTTCGAACAGATAATTAGGAAGAAAATTGTTCTATTACTTTTGTGCTATTGACCTTATTACGATAAAGGATTTAGGAGGATCATGCTACTTACGTCCCTTTTAGAAGTGTAAAAAGTGGTAGAAGTCATGAAAGGTGTCAGATAATAATATAACGTTATAATATACCTAGCTTGAATTATAATGCGAAGAGCATAGAAATAGTATAACAAAATATATGAAATATTTATAAAACAGTTCCTTCCAACGATATTTGTGAAAATCTTTCAATATTTCTCACGTCAACAATGTGTCTAATCGAAATTTCAAAGTAATTATGTTCCCCGAGAGAAATTTAATGTAAGAATAATTAAACTGGTTAGTGATCAATTAATTATTTTCAGTATTAAAAGCATTAAACAAAATACAGTTCTTAATGCTTTCAATATTCAAAATAAATATTCATTAATCAATTTAATAAATATACCTATGATATTAAATTTCTTTACCAACACGATCGTCTGTGAAACAATTGTATTTTATCAAATTACAACAATTTCCGCTTATAGTTGCGATACTATTGAATTTTTCACAAATAACGACGGAAGTGTTTGAACGAACGTAGTCGTGCATGGCCAAAGCCGTGCCTTATCACATATTTTCAACGTCGCTTTCCCTATATGTACACGTGTGATTATAAACTAAGAAGTACTTATAGCTATAGGTAAGACAGATTCTCATGACAGATGGACACGCATTCTCGACGTAGTGGGCTCAAAGTTATTTTTTTGCTATATAAGACAGAGTGTCGTGTCATTTTCGAATCGTCGTCGTCGTCTCTTTTGCGCAAGGATCCTTTAATCCTGAAATACAATTTCTTAAAACTTATGGCCTTTCTACAATAAGCCATTACCTATAAGCTTTAAAAGTCTTAAGCCGTAAGAGATCGATTATTTTTCTCACATTCGACCGTAATCATCAATTTCTTACAACTTAAGACTTAAAGCTTAGGTAATGGTTTATTTTAAAAAGCCTCTTAAGACTTAAGCTAGAAACACATAAAAAATATAAGGCAATAAGACGCAAGCAATAAGCGAATCGTCCAACCACAGTAAAGAACGTAAAATATCTGTTTGGTTCATTGACCGATTCGTTTACTACTTATGTCTTATTGCTTTATGTTTTTTTATATGGCTTTATTCTGACCTTACACTTATGTGTATTATGCCTTAAAAAATTTATCAATTGCAGTCGTATAATTGTATTCTTCTTATATTCGATTGCGATTGATTAATTTCTTATTTATACACCTATTGTGTTTTGGGACTTACAGAAATCCAATATGGCCAATTTAATAGTAAAAAGTAGTGATCGATTACTTATTTTGAGTATTACAAACACTGCTGTAGAGTGATAATTAATAAGTAATTAATCACTATCTTCTAGTATTAAATTTCTGTGAGAGACGCGCCTTGTTATCATTTTTATATCTACTTAACGGACATACTACACTCTAGATTGGACGTCGATGGTGTACATTGAAATGTGTTGTGCACATTATTGCTACTTAACTTTTGAATAAACGGCTCGTTACTCTCATTTCTCATGGAATTGCTTCGCAAATAACGGAGCTGCGCGAAGCGACTTATTTCAGGCGGAGAGACATGCAACTTAAATATACAATAGCGAAGACTCGATATTCCTCAAGCTGCGCGCTTATATGAGCATGAATTAAATTTACGCGTGTACGACTGTCTACGAAATTATATATTATTTAATATTAAGTAGAAAACGCTCCATGTAGGTTTTATGTAGGTGTGATGTAGGTGTTTAGGTTTTCAGAATATTATTACGCAGGTAGCAGATATACGGCAGAATAATTATAATTCTCGGTAAGATGTTTGCGGAGTGTACGTTTTTAACGTACCTACATTTTATAATTATTAAATTATAGGATTAGATACGTAGAGTGACTCAGACGAGAGTTTATTTTATTTAAAGGATGAATATATTATTTTAAGAACGAAAAGAGCAGAGACGTATAAAGTTAGGTATTAGGTATCCTGTTTGGCAGTGAGAAATGCCTAGGACAATATATATAGTATCGCTTAACTCTTGAATGCACACGGCGCTTTAATAAAATCTGTCATTATAAGAAGTTACATCGCAAAAATGTTTGAAAGGCTATGTATTTAAAAATACTTTTATTAGAATATGTTATTTATGACTTATTGACCTGTATTCAATTAGAATATAATTAATAATAAATAATGTATATATCGCTGAACGCGAGATATTGTTGGATATTTTGATATATGCGCATTTGTATATTATTATAAGGTTTAAAAAATATTATATATATTTCTGCTTTTATACGTGCTTAAACAGAATATTGTTAAGCATATTTGCTCTGATATGCATGTTACGTCAGTCTTAATTTATCTCTTGCCAAATCAAAATAGCCGAATGCATTCAAAAGTTAAATATTACAACGAGATCACGAATTGACGTCAACGGCGAAAGGAAACGTAAATGTCAATTTACGAGTATCATAGTGTCATGTCAACGAGCGCTTGTTTACACATTACGATAAACGTTAAATTACGGGCTTGACTATACCGGCGCGTCGTCGACCGTGATTTGGAATAACCACCTTTTGATCAATCTTGTACGTATCGTATTATTTATCCAGCACTCCTATTGCAGACTGCATCAATCCCTTAATAGTTGTCTCTCTACATCCAGTTTCATTTTACCAGAAATTATTCCATTCTATCCGTAACATTATAGCGCCATTTATCCCGATAAATGTCCAACAGTTTGACAATATCGTGATTAATATGCCAATCAAACATTATTGCCTCGAGCCTTTAGCTTTTGAGTTATCGCACTGAATTATCGAACCGGTTAGAGTACCCCACAGTCCTTCGCAAGTCTCCAAATTGAATTTTTTCATACGTTCCTCTTTATCGCACGCGTTAAACTATTTTATTGATAAATCTGCCGAATTTGCGGTTTTATGTACTTTTTTCTTCAATCCGGCGTCCCCTCCGTCCGCATTTGCGATAACGAAAAATGAATTTTTCGCACGGGACATGGGCTCGTGAGTTGATCAGCTCAGCTATCGAACGAATCAAACTTTAATGAGCGTGACTCCGGAAGACGTCGTAACGCCTGGTACAGCGATGCGTTGTCGGCGTCGCCGGCGCTGAAGCGGTGCCACAGCTTGTTGTCGGGATCCCAGGCTGAATTGGGCGGCCTGTATAATCGAGGAATGTGCCGACCGTCGCGAGTAATTCCAAAAACGTAGCTGTTATTTCCTGAAATCGATTTAAAGGCATCTTAAACGTGCGATGTACAATGATTATGTAGCTATAGGCGATATATGATGTCGAATCTTACTTTAGCTGCGTTTGATTTTGTTGTTTTAATTCTTTGTATGGCACATTTTTCTATTTAAACAGATTTCCGTGAAATCTTCCAATTCTATGTTTTTTGCTTTGTCGATTACAAATGTAAAGTGAAATTAAAAAAATTTTAAGTAACGGATTCAATATGGTTGTCATATAGGGGTAA